GAAGGGAGATAAAAAAAGGAGGAGGAGGAGGAGGAATCAAGAGAAATTTGGCTACTCAAAGGATAATCTGAATCTCATCAGGTTTAAGCAATTTGCTAAGTGCAGAGGGCCAGAAAATTTAGCAGCAATATAGGCATCGGCAAGACTGCCAAATCAGAAAACAATTTGGGAAACCTATCATATTTAGTTGAATCAGAGAAAAAGAAAATGCAAATATTTATGTACTGGCAAAGTTCTGGCTTCAAATTCATTGGCACTTAGTCTTCTCATAAACCGAAGTCAGTGGACTTAAAAAAAACAGAAGAAGAATTTATGGATTTAGGCCCCTATCTTGGTTCTTAGTAGCCTCTTTTGGCTTTCAAAGGGGCAAGTCCCTGGATGCCAAGTTTCATCAAATAGATATGACTGAAATACAGTTTGGCCATAACTCTGGGGAAAATTAATTCTGGGTGTAATACATTTTGGGCCTTATTTATGCTTACCACAAACACATTAATATCTATTGGCAAGGTTTTGACAAAGTTAGAAAAATCAGAACAAACAGCTGCTGAAGGTATTGTGGCAATACACAACAGTTGGTAAATTAAAAACAAAGTCAAGCTACTGGGGAAAAAAACTCAGCTTGAATTTGCATCTTATCCGTTATTGAAAAATCAGGGAAAACAGGACACCGTGCTGAATTGAACACAGAACCTCTGCAAAAGACAGATCAAATCATTTTAAAATCTCCACTGATCACGGCGCAGACAGCCATCTCTTGGGATTTTAACATTTGGGCTTGATTTAAAGAGGGGAAAAAAATCTATGTGCTAGCAAGATTTCAGAAATCTGTCTACACCAGGGAAGGGAATCTTTGGCTTTGACTAACTTTAAATTAAATTAAATTAATCTAAAACATCAAGACTCTTGAATGGGAGACAGCACTGATTGGTGGCCTAAATATGGCTTTCATTTTACACATGAGACCAGGATCCAGACTAATCAAGAGGCTGTGTACCTCCTGTCTAGAATTAAAGCAGTCTTTCCCAACCTTAGCCATTTTAAGATGTGTGGACTTCAATTCCCAGAATACCCCACTGCTGACTGGGGTATTCTGGGAGTTGAAGTCCACGCCTCTTAAAAGGACTAAGGTTGGGAAACAATGAGTTAGAGCAGGGGTGGGCAACCTTGGCTCTTTTATGACTCATGGACTTCATCTCCCAGAATTCCTGAGCCAGCTTGGCTCAGCTTGGAAACCTCTCCCATTCCCCTCAGCGTGGCTGGCTCAGGAATTCTGGGAGTTGAAGTCCACGAGTCATCAAAGAGCCAAGGTTGCCTCCCGCTGAGTTAGAGGAATCAAGAAAGTTTACAAGAACATGATAAGGTCCTGCAGAAAAGCTTTAGCACGGGGGTCTTCAAACTTGGCCCTTTTATGACTTGTGGACTTCAACTCCCAGAATTCCTCAGCCAGCATGCCTGGCTGAGGAATTCTGGGAGTTGAAGTCCACAAGTCATAAAAGGGCCAAGTTTGAAGACCCCTGCTTTAGCATAATGAGCACACAAATAGAATAGAATAAGACTTGCAATGTAATTACTGGAATGGTTATGCTACCAAGTAAAACATTGGTGTGTTTTTTTCTTCTTTGCCCCAAATTTGGCTTTTTTAAGAGGTCTAGACTTCAACTTTCAGAATTCCTTGGCAAGCATGCTGGCTGGGGAACCCTAGGAGTTGAAATCACACTTTTTAAAGTGTCCAGGTTTGATAAACCCTGGTGTAAACCCATCACCTGTTGAAACCCTTTCTGATCCATCTTAAATAATATTAAGGACCTCCATGGGAAAAGTCAAGATGGTCGGTCGTGATCCTACCGTCGAAGCCCTGCCGGTGTCGAGTTGCACAATTTGTGTACAAACGTGACAAGAGCAAACTCTTGTCACATCTGTACACAAATTGTGCATCTTGCAAAACCGAGGACACCATTTTGACTTTTTGGACACCTTCCCTCCCCAGAGGCCCTTGAAATTCTAAGAGGCATGTCTGACGAGAAAGAGGAAGTGCCTGGAGTTATGTATGAAAATAATATCAAATTTGTAAGCCACTTTAGACATAACAGCAGCTTGTTTCCAGTGATTTGGAATTACAGACCAGTAGGGCACAAATAAGCTAATGAACAAAGCTGACAAAAATGAAATAATAATCAAGCTTTGTGCCCGAAATTGAGTGCGTTGTTTTTGGCTAAATGTTACAATCTAGAGTTCAAATTTTGTTCCGTCGGCCTCAAGTCAAGTGATCCATTTTTGCCTTGAAAAAAATCAAGAGTAAACCTTAGCAACAGGAACACAATGAGATTCATCACCTGATTATCAAACACTTCAATCACTGCGCACACATTTTACTATTAACCCATTGCTTTTATTTCAGACGCTATGAAATAAACCAGATGGGCCTTTGGAAATCCATATATACAAATAAATTAATCAAAGACATTATTAATTAGAGATATGCATTTGTCCTCCACGACAGACAGGGGATACTTCAAGTTTTGCGAGTGAACTCAGAGTATAACTGAGCTAGCAGGGTACTTATCCGATTGATAAGTTTGAGAAAGGAAAGTTTGGGTTTGCACATCATCCTTCAAATTGTTAAAAAAAAAATTATATATAGGTCCAGAAGGGAGAGAGGAAGCCACAGAGAAGCATTTAAAAAGAAGCTGCAAAAAGCAAGGGGAGGGAAAGTTCATCTACACCAGGAATGTCCAACCTCGGTGACTTTAAGACTTGTGGACTTCAACTCCCAGAATTCTGGGAGTTGAAGTCCACAGGTCTTAAAATTGCCAAAGTTGGACACACCACTGAGTTACACATAGAGTGGAACAACCACCAGACAGACTGACCAACTATTTCAAGTATTATGTGAGATAAAACTGTTGCCTGTTTAAAAAAACAAAAGTGACCACCTTAAAAATAGAAATCCTGCAGAACAGCCCCGAAGCACTTCCTAGAGTGAACGTTTTCACTTTGCAACGATTCAACGCATGCACAAATATACAGCAGGGGGCATTCAAATGCGTAGCTGCCGCCTGCCCTTGGATATGACAGCGTCCTCTCGGGTGCAGAAATTATGACAATATCACAATGGGCCACGACAACCTCACACACGTGATGCAAAGCCGGGGATGGCATTTCGTGGGTGCCCATCCCGGAGAGAATGCCAAGTGGGAATGAGATTGTGAGACAAAGAGGGTGGGAAAGAGAATTGAAGCAAAAACAGCTGGAAAAACAGGGTGTGTGTGTGTGTGTTCTGACAGGTGCCTTTATTCACAAACCTAGCATATTCTACCACAAAACTGAAACAGCTCTGGACCACGGAGGAAACTTTGAGAAACCCACTGCCTGGGTGAACATACAACTTCCATGCGTGATGGATTCTCCCACCTGTCCCAGAGAAAATGTTCAGTAGAAAGAACCCAACTGGAATTGGGTCCAGAAGAACATCTGCAGGACATTTCTCCAGGCCAGGGGCGTCCAACCGTGACCACTTTAAGACCTGTGGACTTCAACTCCCAGAATTCCCCAGCCAGCCATGGCTGGCTGGGGAATTCTGGGAGCTGAAGTCCACTGGTCTTAAAATGGCCAAGGTTGTCTACACGGATACATGGAAAAGCACGTGAGTTTCCTTTCAAAGAAAAATCGCCGTTTAGACATACAACTCACACAACCCTATCACACACTGCTCCAAATATGTAAAGTACCGCACAATAAAATGTGGACATTTGAGACCGATTGCTCCCATTTTATAAAGGAAGGCCTGAGGCAGAGAAAGAAACCAGCCAACCAACCCACCAGAAAAAATCAGACAATGGATTCGAGGTTGATCTGGCCATCTCAGGTCCAATTCATTCCCCACCTGATCAGTTCTAGTCAGTTTCAGTCATCTGATTCCTGCCCTGCAGGTCGCAAAAGGGGGAAAAAAAACAACAGCAGCCAATTCTACCATAGTTATCGCTATCAGAATTGTGACCTGCTAGTTCACTGTTCCTCAGCCCGGTGGCCTCCGGTTGTGTTGGAACTACAAGTCCCCAAATTCCCAGCCATGAACATTGAGAAAGGGAGGGGGAGGCGAGTGACACCGCATGCATTAAGTCTGTCGAGGTGCAAAGGACGTGGATTGCGTCCTTTATATCAGCCCCATGACCGCCACAATATCACATATCAGAGGCAGGGTGTAGAAACCAAGATGGCATTACGCAAAAATGGGCTCAAATTATATCCATGGACCGATGTCATCAAAGGAATGCTTGACATCACTATCGTACGCTCCCAGTACAGGAAGCGAACCCCACCGGCTGGCGAATGCAGAGGGTCACACCCCAACACACCTGCTGGATGATGGCCCCCCCATTTAAGGAACCGTGAGCTAGGTGCCAGGGATATTTAAAAACATAAATTAAAAAATAAATCTAAGTATATCACTAGAATACGTAATTTATAAAGTGGACTTGATAGATTTATTATTATTATTATTATTCTAAAAAAAGAGTGATTTGAGAACAACCGTCAGACCAATGTACATTCCAACAAAAATCTAAAAGTGGCTTTTGGCTATAACACTTCATTCCAACTGGGCAGTGAGAACAACATGCATTTGTGCCCCCAAACACACACACCCCCCAGCAGTTTAACTATAAATAGTTTGGGGAATGCTTATTTTTTTTTTTTTAAATTTGAAGAAGACGAATGTGCCGTTTTAATTTAAACGTCAAAGACATGATTCAAGTTAAGTTCTGGTTTTGTAATTAAAAACCACTACTTCGGCCCTCTCCCACACAAGAAAAAACTGCACAACCATCTTTGCAGAGGTGATTTCCCTCTCCAGATATAGCGGATTACAACTCCCTCCCACCGTAGAGAAGGTCGACAAGACGCCTACGAAGCCTATCAGACCGCTTTGAAAGAAGAAAGCGAAACAAAATTCCCAGAAAACAGCATTCTTATCCCTTCCTTGCAACATCAGCATTTTTCCAAATAAATTTATGGAGGCAGAAGCCAGGGACCTACGGGCAAGGGGGCCACCTCTGCTGCTCTCCAGCGGAGCAGGAGGGGGTTCGTAACTCAACTGTATGGAAGTTTTGTGGCTCCTCGGATAAATTTTAAGTCCTCTTTGAAAAAGTGCCTCATTTGTTTCTAACCGGTCTTGCTGCTTAAAAATGCAGAATGCAACCGTCACGCTCATCATGATCAACTCCTTAGTACATTGACAACACAAAAAAAACGTTTATAATGTAAACTTGACACATGCTATTCTTCCTTTTTGAAAAACGGAACGGGAAAACAACGAAAGAAAGAAAGAAAGAAAAAGAAGAAGAAGACTAAAGCTAAACAGGTTCAGGTTTGGCATGCTACAGTACTTCCATGTCTCATTGAGATACGACACTGAAGGTGACAAAAAAGATGACGAGGGGATTACAAAATGTTTTGTCGGCCGGTTGTGAAGCTGCCCAATTGACCATTGGCGAATGCCTCCCTTCCCCCATAATCTATGCCTAATTGTCCATGATTCTAGTGCTGGATTGGCCATATAATTATTTACTCTGATCCATCCGGGTTAAATAAGTGCTTCCTTAGCTTAGTTGAATCCATCGGTGTGGTAGCTGGGGTGAGAATCTGCCGTGAGCTGAGTCGTCTCTGTGGCCGAGGCTGGCTGGATCACGATGGGGCCTTCGGTGTTCTCTGAAAAAGAGACGCCAACTTTTTTGAAAGTTGAACATCAAGATGGGTCTGCTAGCTCCTTTTCTGACCAACCTATTTTATTAAAAGTTTGTTTAAGCATTAACAGAATATGCAACGTGTCATTATTGGGGGAAACAAAGGTTTGGCAGAAATTCCCGATCTATTGTAAGAAAAAGTAACAACAACAACAACAATAATAATAATAATAATAATAATGATGATGATGATGATGATGATGATGATGAAGAAGTAGTAGTAGTAGTAGTAGTTGGAAGGGACCTTGGAGGTCATTTAGTCCAACCCCCTATACCAGGAAACCCTATACCATTTCAGACAAATGGCTGTCCAGTCTCTTCTTAAAAACTTCCAGTGTTGGAGCATTCACCGCTTCTGGAGGCAAGAAAGAAGACTTTGGCTGCCCCAAAGAAGACTCCCTCTTCTTTGGGGCAGCCCCTGAGATACTGGATCACTGCTATCATGTCCCCCCATTCTGTAGCTACTCAGATGGTACAGGTGGTCCTCGACTTACAACCAGAAGAGGTAGTCAAGCTATTCTCCAAAGCGCCTGAAGGCAGGACAAGGAACAACGGATGGAAACTAATCAAGGAGAGAAGCAACCTGGAACTAAGGAGAAACTTCCTGACAGTTAGAACAATTAACCAGTGGAACAACCTGCCTCCAGAAGCGGTGAATGCTCCAACACTGGAAGTTTTTAAGAAGAGATTGGACAGCCATCTGTCTGAAATGGTATAGGGTTTCCTGCCAGAGCAGGGGGTTGGACTAGATGACCTCCAAGGTCCCTTCCAACTTTATTATTATTATTATTATTATTATTATTATTATTATTATTATTATTAATTATTATTATTATTACTACTACTACTACTACTACTACTACTACTACTACGATTATTATACATCTTCCTCCTCCTACTTTCCCCACAACAGCCTTGTGAGGTGGGTTGGACTGAGAGAGAGAGGGACTGGCCCAAAGTCAGCCAGCCGGCTTTCATGCCTAAGGCAGAACTAGAACTCACGATCTCCTGATGATTAGCTCAAAGTCACCCAGCTGGCTTTGAAGCCTAAGGTGGGACTAGAACTCGCCTTGTCCTTGTTTCTATCCTGATGCCTTCACTGCTACACTGAGTGATTCTCAACGATATGGCATCTTAAGCCACATCGTATCAGCTGTTTCCCCTTTTTCTGAGGTTTGGAGGTGTTCCTGGTGGTTTAACTGGAGAAACCAACACTTACCCCTCTCGTCTGATTGTACTTGGGCCTCCAGGTCTTCTGGAGAGACATAAAATTCCGGTTCCTCTCCTTCGGGGGGTTTCGGTTTACACTTTCCACAGCAACAATTACAGCAACAGCAGAGACAGCAGCAGCAGTAGCACCCGGTGATGAGCCCACAAAAGACGAACAGCGCCTGGATAGGGGAGAAAAGAAATGTAGACCAGCAGCCCCCAACCTTTGGGGCATCAGGGATTGCTTCCGCGGAGAGTTCTTCCACAGACCGGAGGGGAGCATGGTTTCGCGTGCTGCCTGCATCCTGTAGATGGGGCTTCGCTTGTTTGTGCGGCCCGGTTTCTGGCGTGCTGCGGCCCAGTGCCGGTCCATGGACTAGGGCATGGGTCAGCAACCCGCGGTTCCGGAGCCGCATGTGGCTCTTTGAGCCTTCTCCTACGGCTCACAGCCTCCTCCGCCATTTGCAGAGAGACAGAGACAAAGAGAGGCACTTGCGCTTCCCTTCTTCCCTTCTCTCTCTCTCTCTCTCTCTCTGTGTGTGTAAAAAAGAGAATGGCCTCACGCTGTTCTCCGACAAGCTGACAAGCTTATTGGGCGGGGCTCCTGCCTTTGCTGCGTCTCCGCAGGAAGCAGCAGAAAACAGAAGCGCTCTCTCTCTCTCTCTCTCTCTCTCTCTCACACACACACACACACACACACACACACACTGAGTGGGGGAAGAAGACTGGCAGACCAAGAGCAGGAGAGAGCCAGCCCAATAAGAATGTGTATCAGCTTGTCGGAGAACAGCGTGAAGCCAGCTTGCCAGGTGAGCAGAAGATCCGAGAGAGGGAGAGAGGGGGGAGAGAGAGGGAGGCAAAGAGAGGGAGAGAGAGAGAGGGAGGGAGAGAGAGAGAACTCGTGCACAGCAGCCTCTATTTCTTTTTAATTAAACTCTTCAATCAAGCTCCCCCCCTCCTGTGTGTGCACGTGCATGCGCGCGCAAGTTTTGCAGCTCCCAGTGTTTTCTTTTCTCTGGGAAATGGGTCCAAGTGGCTCTTTGAGTGTTTAAGGTTACCGACCCCTGGACTAGGGATTGGGGACCCCTGATGTAGACCATCCGTATGGAGCAAGCAAGCAAGCTTGCCTGGGGAGGCCAGATCAGAAAAAGAGAGTGACAAGAACCGGGTACACTGAAAGATTGAGTGTCTTTCCACTCTCAGCAGTGGAAAGATCAACTGCTGATTACATGTCTTAAGAGCTGATGGCTGCTCGTTGGGTGTGATCTTCCACCTTGACTATACTGATTTATGACAATTGTTCAGCGACCTTTAGAGTCCTCTGCACTGGACGGTGATCCAAAGGCATTCAAGTAGTTAATCAGCCCATTTCATACAGGGCAGCCTTGCAAGCCAACTCAGAAGGGGTAAATATCTACAAAACACGGTAACCAGGTTGCAGGTGGAGAAAACCTGGCATTGTAGAACCACAGCCATCTTGAGGCCCAAGGCTGGTTATCTAGAACAGCGGTCTCCAACCTTTATGGCTTGGTAGCCCGGCTTGGGGAGGGGGGAAGAGGGGAACCAGGCCGTGCAAGTGGTAGGCTGGTACGTACGCACATGCGCGCGCAGCTCTAATTGCACAAGTTGAACTGCACACGCATTTGTACGCCTGCTGGCCGACCATTCGCATAAGTCGAGCTGCGCACGCATGCGTGTGCCCCAGCCCTCCGCTAGCATGATCCGGTTCCAAATAGGCCACAACCCAGTAGTGGGCCACAGCCCGGGGCTTGGAGCCCCCTGATCTAGAAGACTCTTTTTCATTTAGCACTGGGATAGATGGGAAATCATCTTGCTAAAATCAGATCTGCCTGTCTGGACTGAATCCCAAGGGAGGGCCTGCTAAGGATCCCCCTAACTCAGGGGTAGGCAACCTTGGCTCTTTTATGACTCGTGATCTTCAACTCCCAGAATTCCTGAGCCAGCGTGGGGGAACTATGGCCCCTTCATGACTCGTGGACTTCAACTCCCAGAATTCCTGAGCCAGCATGACTCAGCTTGGAAACCTCTCCCTTTCCCCTCAGCGTGGCTGGCTCAGGAATTCTGGGAGTTGAAGTCCACGAGTCATAAAAGAGCCAAGGTTGCCTACCCCTGCCCTAACTTCAAGAGATGCTGTTCCTGGAGTATGGGCCACCACAGGCCTTTTCAGTGACAGCCCTAAGGGCAGTTGTAAGCAAGATGAGAAAGAAATGAGAGGAACACTACACATGCGTAACTGGCCTATCTCATAAACAGTAGTTTGCTCTCCGGGAAAAAGAGATTAAAAAATGTTCAAAGAGGCATCATCTTAAAGAACTCACTTATAAAAGAGGGCTGGGGGGTCCTACCAGATTTCTCAAAAATTTTGTTATCTTCATTAAGTCTTGCACTGAAATTCCTGATCAAGGCCTGCGGGATCCTTGCTTCTTCTACGAGGCCTTATTGTAAGTGACTTCACAAGGATGTCAAGTTCTTGCTGGGGAATTCTGGGGGTCGAAGTCCACTATCTTAGGGGTGCTAAGGTTGGACACCCCTGTCAATCTTGTCCGTTTGGGCTCATCGTGTCGCCCATATCATAAGCCTGTTAAGACCGTCATAATTCCAACGTGCTTTTGGGTTTGAACGATTGTGGGCGAGCCCTCCTATTGTTACTGTATTGATGTCATTAATACATTAACAATATTGTAGTATTTCTTCTTGCTTTATCTTGCTTCGTGAATACTGCCCTGTATCACGATGTATTGGGATGAATAAACGCAGAGATGCATTTAGAAAAATTTCTAAACCTATCATTAGCTCTCTTGACCAACCTTTCCAGCATTCAGGCTGTTATTATATTACATATTATCTATCTATCTATCTATCTATCTATCTATCTATCTATCTATCTATCTATCTATCTATCTATCTATCTATCTAATCTATCATCTATCTATCTATCTATCTATCTATCTATCTATCTATCTATCTATCTATCATCTATCTATCTATCTATCTATCTATCTATCTATCTATCTATCTATCTATCATCTATCTATCTATCATCTATCTATCTATCTATCTATCTATCTATCTATCTATCTATCTATCTATCTATCTATCTATCTATCTATCTATCCATCCATCCATCCATCCATCCATCCATCCATCCATCCATCCATCCATCCATCTATCTATCTATCTCTCTATCTCTCTATCTATCTATCTAGAGATATGATCTAATACATCTAAACTGCATCCATAAAGACAAAATGGTTCTATACAAGAGTAGCAATAGCTTAGTACGACCAAGTTCTCGGATGAAGCTCAAAATGTTTCTATCATGGTAGATAATCCAGGAAAAAGCTGAAAAGTAATAGATATCTGTGGCTGACTCATCAAAACGGGAAAACAGAGCCCTCAAACGTACAAGAGGCTTAAAATAGGTGACATCATATGATATTTTCAAGCTAAAATACCATTAACCCTTTTTTGTTTACTAGATTTAATTGAGTCAGATCTTTTTCATGCTTTAAGAAAGCTTCCAGAATGTAATTTAGAATTTTCAAGAAATTGTACAGGAAAGGTATTGCTCATGAAAAATTCCGGATGTTAAGATGCCCTTTTAACCTCAAGTTTGTATCTTGTCGTAAAAAAAAATGAAAATGAATCCATTTTAGAAAAGTTAATCATGATTCCGACAAACTTTTGACAATATTAAATGCAAATGCCAGACTTAAAAAAAGAGATTTTAATGCATACCCTTGTTCAGGGGTGGGGAACCTTGGCTCTTTTATGACTCGTGGACTTCAACTCCCAGAATTCCTGAGCCAGCATGGCTCAGCTTGGAAACCTCTCCCTTTCCCCTCAGCGTGGCTGGCTCAGGAATTCTGGGAGTTGAAGTCCACGAGTCATAAAAGAGCCAAGTTTGAAGACCCCTGGTTTAAATATTTAAATATTTTTTCCTCACGGTCACGTGATCAAAATTCAGGTATTTGGGCAGGGGTAGGCAACCTTGGCTCTTTTATGACTGGTGGACTTCAACTCCCAGAATTCCTGAGCCAGCCTGGCTCAGCTTGGAAACCTCTCCCTTTTCCCTTCAGCATGGCTGGCTCAGGAATTCTGGGAGTTGAAGTCCACGAGTCATGAAGGGGCCAAGGTTGCCTTAAACTATCAATGGAAATTCACTCTCCTCTGCTAAAATATTCTCTTTTCCTCTCCCAGAGAGAAGGGTCATCTAGAAAAATATGATCTCCTATGACCTTTCTGCATTCTTTAAAGATCGCAAGCCTGCTTCTTGCCTTGGAAATCTTTATTACCCCCAGGAAAATTAACTGGCGCACAAATCGTATGTGATTTAAATTTTCTTTAATCACAGTTAGCATTTTTACAAGCCTCAGCAGCTATTCAATTTACAGAGGGGGAGAGAGAACAGGATAAAGAGACCAAAGAAACTGGTTTGTGGTAGCTAGACCAGTGTTTCTCAACCTCGACAATTTTAAGGCATGTGGACTTCAACTCCCAGAATTCCACAGCCAGCATTGCTGGCTGTGGAATTCTGGGAGTTGAAGTCCACATGCCTTAAAATTGTCAAGGTTGAGAAACACTGAGCTAGACGGAAGACTAAATACTTAAGTATTTCCACGTTAGAAAAAAAAGGAGACAAATTTTGTTTTAAGACAAAATCAATTTAATTATTTCCAAAACAGAATCCACTTGCTACTTACCTTGGCCCACCAGCTGGACAACACGAAGTAGGTGTTCACGTTCTCTTCTCCAAACTGTTCTGCTACATACAGGCCCAAAGAACCATACTTATCATAAATATTTCTTTTGGTAGCATCAGTCAATATTGCGTGGGCGTTGTTAATCTCTTTAAATTTATCTGCGGCTTCTGGATTATCTGGATTCTTATCCGGGTGATATTTTAATGCAAGTTTCCTAGGATAGAATTAAACGGTATTTAGGGGGGGGAGGCGTGACAAAATATGAAATGTAGTGTTGGAGCAGTCATATGGAAGTTACTTTTCAAACAGCTGGAATTCTGAGAAAAATGAAGCCGGAGCTCTCTCTGACACACACTCGTTTATACACCAAATATGTTGTATGTGAGAGTGGAACACAGACTTCACATTCCGATACATACTCAGGATGTAGCTTTTTGGGGGGAGGGGAGGTGTCTGTTGTAACTGTCATTAAGTGACTGATCGTAAGTCAAGGACCACCTCTAGTGACCCGATTTCAAAGTTACAATGGCTGCATCCCCTTCACACAACCACGCAATCCCATTTTGGATGCTGGAAACCGGCTCACCTTTCGGCCTCTTGCCACTTCCGCTAATCATGTGATGGAAATTTTTGACAATTTTTTTTGCCAGTTTTGCTGGTGTTTATTTCCAGTTTCTGGCCCCCCCCCCCAAAAAAGCCCATTGTGTAAAATGGATTTGCTTAATGGCCAGCATAAAAAAATGCCGGCAAATCGGGTCTAGTCACATGGTGACCCATTTAATGACCACCATGACTTATGACCGTAACTCTAGGCTCAATGATGGCTGTAAGTCGAGGATTAGTTAGACTTGGCTTTCCAAAAAAGCACTCGCTATAAAGAGACAAATTATTTTATTTTTATTCAACTTTGCCAGTGCAGCTTCTTTTAGGAGGTGTGAACAGGTGGGGCACAAGCACCCCTTCCCACTCTAATGCACCTTTCCTGCTTTGGATTCCAAGTGCCATTAACATATTTCAAATCTTTTATTATAAACATCTCAAACTTTACCTACACGATCCTTCTAAGATGTACCGGGGGAAAATTAAATTGCTAAATTTTAGACCTAAGAGAATCAATTGATTAAAAACTTTCTCTGTTATGTATCCCCTAACATCTCATGGAAAAACTGGGGCAGGAGCCCCTGTTGGAGAATGTGCTCCTGAGCTTATGCAGAGCTAAAAGAATAGCAAGTAATTAACTAGTGGAAGTTCCCATTAAAAAGAAAAGCTGGGTGCAATAAATCAGGGGTGTCAAAGTGCCAGCCCGTGGGCCGGACATGTCACCCTGAAGCTGTGCCCGCCCCATAGCCGGCAATGGCAAAACAGTCTCGATACGTCGTGCGACGTCGCGAGTTTGACATGTCTGCAATAAATGAATGCCATTCATTGTATCTGAAGTAAATTATAGATTTATTAAGAAATATAAGGAAGCTTAATTTCTGCCTAAGCTGCCTCTTGAGCGAAAAGCACAAGAAATAAATAAATAAATAAATAAAGAAAGAAAGAAAGAGTTATTTCTTGAATGCAAAGGCACATTTAGCTAACTATAGGCCAGATAAGGAACAAAGGAACATAAAGACTCTTTGCATTTACTCTAGAACAGGTTCATAAGTACCAAGAGAAGAGAATATTTGTAGCTCAAATATTGGTGGCAACAGAGACAGGGCAAGCCACTCATCATCGTCATCCTCCTCCTCCTCCACTTTGCAAATCCCACCCCCTTCTATCATTGATGATGTTACCTAGTTAGGTAATTAAACATCTGCAAGCAAGCAATCAAGCTCAGAGAGCACTAAGGAGCCTACAGGCTCGTAATGCAGGAGGATGATTCATCTCCATCACAAACTGTCTAACCCAGGGGTAGGCAACCTTGGCTCTTTTATGACTCGTGGACTTCAACTCCCAGAATTCCTGAGCCAGCATGGCTCAGCTTAGAAACCTCTCACTTTCCCCTCAGCGTGACTGGCTCAGGAATTCTGGGAGTTGAAGTCCACGAGTCATAAAAGAGCCAAGGTTGCCTACCCCTGCCCTATTCTTATTAAGAGCAATACTTGCAATCTTACACATTTCAAGCTATATTAAAAGCCTTCAAATCAAAACTTTAGAATAACATTTACCACCAAGAGCTCATGATTCCCATCCAACCTTTTTTTGTGTGTGTTTTTTTAAAATACATTATTCTTGATCAGCCTGAGTCATAGACAGATTTGGAAATACCTGATACGTTTTTAGGAGAAACACTGCTAACTTCATATTTTGTAATTTATTGGCAGGATTTCTAACTCCCACTGATTAGAAACAGGCAAAGAACAAGTTGACCTAAACCCTAATTGCATGACTGAAATGAGAAAGAAAAAAAAGGTTGAGGTAATTAGGATAAATTTTGGCGTGGAAAGAATAAAAACACATCCCTAGAATTTGGAGCTGTGTGGTTCTATTTTTTAATTCAGGTTTTGCGTGTGTGCTTAATACTAGGAGGGAAAACCCAAGTCGATTCGGCATTTTCTTTTTTGCTCTGCGGCAGCATCCTCAAACCTGGGGCTTTTGGTACTTTCTTTACCTCAAACATAACTGTGAACCCACAAAAACATGCCACGTATTGGCATGAAGTCCCACAAAGCACTTCTCTTCAGATTTCAGGGGTTCTACGTTTCCATTAAACACAGAAACATAGGAAGAAAGATGGTCCATTGAGTCGTTCCTTTGAGTTTTTATTTTTATTTTTTTTTATTTTTGTCAGACGATGTGTTTATTATCTCAAACATGTTTAAACTCAGTTACTCAGTTACTTGACCCACCACCTCCGCTGGAAGTTTTGGTTGCAAGCTTCCACTACTCCTTTTGACAAGTGATGTTTTCTAACATTACTTTCGAACTTCCCTCTTGTCAGTTTAGAGGTTATGCTCCCATGTTCTTAATATCTGTTTCATTTCTGCTTCAAATTGGAAGTAAACAACTCATTTTAAAATAAGGTAAGTGATGTACAGAGAAGAGCAACAAAGATGATTAGAGGTCTGGAGGCTAAAACATATAAGGAATGGTTCCTGGAATTGGGTATGTCTAGTCTAATGAAGAGAAGGACGAGGGGGGACATGATAGCAGTCTTCCAGTATCTCAGGGGCTGCCCCAAAGAAGAGGGAGTCAAGCTATTCTCCAAAGCGCCTGAAGGCAGGACAAGAAGCAACGGATGAAAACTAATCAAAGAGAGAAGCAACCTAGAACTCAGGAGAAACTTCCTGACAGTTAGAACAATTAACCAGTGGAACAACCTGCCTCCAGAAGCGGTGAATGCGCCAGCACTGGAAGTTTTTAAGAAGAGACTGGACAGCCATTTGTCTGAAGTGGTACAGGGTTATATGCCTGAGCAGGGGGTTGGACCAGATGACCTCCAAGGTCCCTCCCAACTTTATTATTATTACTATTATTATTATTATTAATAATAATAATAATTAATTAATTATGGATCATCGCACAGTCAGCCAGATGTTCAGACTGGATTTGGCATTTTGTCTACCTATCGAGTCCTTACCCAGGACCTGGGATAGGATTATTATCATTATTATCATTATTATCATTATTATTATTATTATTATTATTATTATTATTATTATTATTATTATTATTATTATTATTATTACGTCTTCAGTTGCAAAAACTTTGGGAGGTCACAGCTGCTTGAATTTCTGTTGAATCCCCAATTCAAGAGAGTTTGGGGCAGATTCCAAATGCTTTATTTTCTCAAACAGAGACAGCTGGCCGGTGCATTTACTGGTCCATACACCAGCTAACTTCATACAGGAAGTCCTCGGCTTCTGAGTGAATGTCCAAAGTTACCATGGCAATAAAAAAGGGACTTATAACCAATCCTCACCGTTATGATTGTCACAGCGTGACCCCCCAATCATGTGCTCAAAATCCAGGAATCTGGCAACCAGCATTTGTTTATAACAGTTGCAGCATGCTGGAGTCCTGTGATGGCCATTTGCAAGCTTCCCAGACAGCTTCCAACAAGCTATAGTCAAAGGGAGAAGCCAGCTTCGCTTAACGACCATGTAATTTACCTAGCTGCAGCCATTCACTTAACAACCGTAGCAAAAAAAGACTGTAAGATCAGGCACAACTCACTTTAACAACCAGCTTGCCTAGCAACAGAAATTCTGCTCCCAATTGTGGTTGTAAGTTGAGGACTCCCTGTTTCAGGTTCTAGAAGTTCAGAGATCCAAAATCACGAGCTGAGCTGGTTGTATCAACAAACGTTTGTATGCAACATACTTGTGTGCCACTTGGGGTTCCACCCCCTTACCTGTATGATTTCTTAATATCATCTGAGGTGGCATTCTTGTCCAGTCCTAGAACGTGATATAGCGACTCTCCGGACGTGGATAACGAACGTTGCCTCTGATCTCCCATCCTGAGCTACCCTGTCAGGAAGAAAAGTATTCAAAAGATGACATAAAAGTGGTTTCCTATCTTCGTGAAACTGGCGCTCTGCGATATGAAGTGCTGAGCTGGATTAGGAAAGGCCGGGTTCCCCAACCTCTGTAGCCATGTCTAGTCCAGTGGTGGCGAACCTATGGCACAGGTGCCAGAGGCGGCACTCGGAGCCCTCTCTGTGGGCACACGTGCCGTTGCCCTAGCCTTGCCTCCCCCCGTGACCCCCTCCTCTCCAGCAGCCCCCCTGAAGGAGAGTCGCCCTTGAGCGTGGCCCACGCGGAGCAGCGCAGCCAAGGACATGGCAGCCAGGCAGCATAGACAAGACTCTGCCCTCACACCCCATCGTGCACAGTTGATGCTGCAGGGCGTGGGCAGAGGGTGTAACCGCCATAGCGCTGCTGGGCTGCCTCTGCGATCTGCGGCAGGCCTTGGAGGCGGTGAGTGGCCCTGCGGGCAGGCGGGGCAGGGGATGGAGCAGGGGGGACAGGGGGGTGGAGCCAGTTTTTGGGCACTCAGTCTCTAAAAGGTTTGCCATCACTGGTCTAGTCTAATGAAAAGAAGGACTAGGAGTGACATGATAGCAGTCTTAATATTTGAGCGGCTGCCCCAAAGAAGAGGGAGTCAAGCTATTCTCCGAGGCACCTGAAGGCAGGACAAGAAGCAACGGATGGAAACTAATCAAGGAGAGAAGCATCCTGGAATTAAGGAGAAACTTCCTGATAGTTAGAACAATTATTCAGTGGAACAACTTGCCTCCAGAAGCGGTGAATGCTCCAACTCTGGAAGTTTTTAAGAAGAGATTGGACAGCCATTTGTCTGAAATAGTTTAGAGTCTCTGGCTTGAGCAGAGAGGGTTGGACTAGAAGACCTCCAAGGTGCCTTCCAACTCTATTATTCTGTTTTGTTCTGTTATGAGGATCATTTGGAAGATCTCCCAGGATCTTTTTACTGCCTGACCAGCTTTATCAGGACAGGGACAGGTTCAATCCTATATATCAGTGGTGGCGAACCTATGGCACGCGTGCCAGAAGTGGCACTCAGAGCCCTCTCTGTGGGCACGTGCGCCGTCTCTCCCCACGCCCCCTCACCAACAGCCCTCTGGAGGAGAGTCGCGCCCAGGCACAGCCCGCGTGGAGCAGTGTAGCCAAGACTCTGCCCTTGCACCCTGTCACATGCAGATGATGCTGTGGGGCATGGGCAGAGGGAGTGGCCGCCATGGTGCTGCAGGGCTGCCTGGGCGATCTGCGGCGGGCCATGGAGGCGGTGGGTGGTGGGGGCGGGGCAGGGGCAGGGCATTTTTTGGGCACTCAGTCTCTAAAAGTTTCGCCATCACTGCTATATATTCTGACCACAGTTCCACAAAGGAGTGATATGTTTCTTTTATCGTGAAATTAATACATTTAATCTTAAGAACCCATCCCTTTTTTCATAGAAAAAACCAACAAAGCAGAGTATTAATGATGAACATTATTTCTGTGAACGTGATAAAATTTGAATTTGTTATACAGGTAAGTCCTTGACTTACAGCCATTTGTTTAGTGACCGCTTGAAATTGCAACCTTGAAAAAAAGTGACTGGTGACCGTTTTTCACACTTACGACCTTTTGCAGCATCCCCAGGATCACGTGATCAAAATTCAGACGCTTGGCCACTGGCATGTACTTATGACGGTTGCAGTGTCCCCGGGGTCACGCGAACCCCTTTTGCGGCCTTCTGACAAGCAAAGCCAATCGGGAAGCCAGATTTACTTAACAAAGGAGTTATTAACTTAACAGCTGTACTGACTCACTCAATGACGGTTCAAGGAAGGTCATAAAACGGGGCAAAATTCACCCAACTGTCTTGCTCCGCAACAGAAAGGTTGGGCTCAATTGGGATTGTGAGCTGAGGACCACCTGAAATCCGTGGCTTGGCTTCTAGCCACCCATCTCTCATCCAGGTTTTCCAAACACATTCTGCATGGGCAACATTTATTTATTTTGAGCTCAAAGCTTCTCTAGCTCCAGTTTTCAGCCTGAGAGACTCTTGTGCAGAAAGAAAAGGCGACAGGCAGAGAAAGGAAAGCTATGTAAGTCACTATGTAGTACGTGTTATTTTTCTAGCTGCCAGCTAGGGCCAAAACAGGCTGATCAGGAAAGAGCAGCAGACCCACTGGAGCATAAAGGTCTGCTTTTATTTCCCAAGAGGAGAACCTAATGATTCATGGGAAGATGATCTGATATAGGCTCAGCAAGCCACAATAACAGGGAATCCATAGAGTAGCCCTGAAGATGCTTTCCTCATAGCTCACACCATTCCCTTCGGGTAAAAAAAAGCTGCTGAGAAACAGAGATGACGGTTTCCTGTTATTTCCACAGAGGAATAGCAAGAAAAAAACCACTTTTATCCCAATGAGAAAACAAAAGGAGTAGTGCCCAGCCAGCCCTATGTGGAAAAACCCAGCTCATCCCACTTCAGGAATGTCACTGCAACCTCTCATTGCTCCTCAGTAACAATAAAGTGCAAGGCTCCACCACTAAAGGCTATTCCAGTGATGATGATGATGATGATGATGATGATGATGATGATGATGATGATAATAATAATAATAATAATAATAATAATAATAATAATAATAATAATAATAATAATAATAATAATAATAAAAGTTGGAAGAGACCTTGGAGGTCATCTAGTCCAACCCCCTGCTCAGGCAGGAAACCCTACACCATTTCAGACAAATGGCTGTCCAGTCTCTTCTTAAAAACTTCCAGTGTTGGAGCATTCACCGCTTCTGGAGGCAGGTTGTTCCACTGGTTAATTGTTCTAACTGTCAGGAAGTTTCTCCTTAGTTCTAAGTTGCTTCTCTCCTTGATTAGTTTCCATCCGTTGCTTCTTGTCCTGCCTTCAGGCGCCTTGGAGAATAGCTTGACTCCCTCTTCTTTGGGGCAGCCCCTGAGATATTGGAAGACTGCTATCATGTCCCCCCTCGTCCTTCTCTTCATTAAACTAGACATGCCCAATTCCAGCAACCGTTCCTTATATGTTTTAGCCTCCAGTCCCCTAATCATCTTTGTTGCTCTTCTCTGTACTCTTTCTAGAGTCTCAGCATCTTTTTTACATCGTGGTGACCAATCGTGCAACCCCAAACCCACTTATGCATCGGCGGGTGCCGGATGGGTGTGGCCTATTGGGTGGGTATGGCCCATTGGGTGGGCGCGGCTACGGTGGTAATGGCAGACTGGGTGGGACTAAAAAGTTCAATCAATCAATTCCAACTTTGCAAGATCTTTTTTTTTCCGTGAGAAGTTGAAATTGACTAATTGATTGAACCTTTTTTTTTTTTTGCACACGGCGGCGGTGGCCTAAAGCGAAAAGGTTTTATAAAACCCAGCTGAAGGCCTAGGACTGGGGCGACGGCGCGCGTGCCCACAGAGAGGGCTCTGAGTGCTGCCTCTAGCCTCCGTGCCATAGGTTCACCACCACTAGGCTATTCTGTCGCCAAACGGTTCATAAGCATAGAAAGGGTCCTGGTGGATCAGGGGTTAGAATGCAGAATTGCAGGTTGACTCTGCCCACTGCCAACAGTTCAATCCTGACTGGCTCCAGGTTGACTCAGCCTTCCATCCTTCTGAGGATCCAATAGGCTGTAAACTCTATAAACTGTTTAGAGGGCTGTAAAGCACTGTGAAGCGGTATCTAAGTCTAAGTGCTATTGCTATTGCTATCCTCATATATATTTTCAAACTACCCTGGTCACATACCTCAGCACGGAGGGGATGTATTTCCGGCCTAGTTGGCCTTAGCAAATGCTCTGAAGAGCAAGTCCATCTCCAAGCTTTGTGAAGAAGCGCAAGATAAGATGGCTGCAAAAGCGTCGATTAGTTTGGGGACACTTGATAAGAGAGAGGCAAAGTATGCTGTTTCTTCTGCCAAGACCCCCTGGATTTCTGGACCAAGCACAGAGGAGGAATTCTTTTTTTGGGGGGGGACCCTTCTTTTCTCCTTCTTCCATACTTCCTCCTTCATCTCCACTTCTACCTCCCTCTTCTCCTCCAGGTGGGCTCAAATCACCATCAAGGAATTCCATGTATTTACCTGTCTCAAAGGTGGCCAGGCTAGTGTTTAGAGTAGGGGTATTCAATCTTGGCAGTTTTAAGACTTGTGGACTTCAGCTCCCAAGTTGAAGTCCACAAGTCTTAATGTTGCCAAGGTTGGACATCCCTGATTTAGAGAGAAGATTGATTCTGTTGTGACAACCATCCCCTATGGAGCCCAATGCTGAATTCCTTCCATTCAATGCATTTTTTCATGATGTATTTGCCTCTCCGTGTTAGACCTGTGGCTTTTCCACTGCAGCTCGCTTAGTATGAGAGATAATATCTGTCCAAATGACTCAGGGCTTCCTCTTCTCTCATTCTCTCTCTTATTGAAGACTCTGCCTTTTTTTTAACAAGCATCTCAACTGCTGAAGCTCATCTTGAAGAAACAATCTTTCCATAGCCCCAGGTCACGTCATCTGGCTCATTTTCACTTCCCACTTTCCTCCCACCTAGCATCGCCATGAACTGTGTGACTCTGCTGGAGTGCGAGTTGGCCACGTGCAAAAGACAAAATAACAGTTTTCCATAATACAGGTAGTCCTCGACTTACAACACAGTTCATTCGGCGGCTATTCAAAGTTGCAACGGCACTGGGGAAAAAAAATGACACGATCATTTTTCACACACAGGACCGTTGCAGCGTCACGTTCATTTTCTCTAGCCAGGAGAATGTAATCAGCGCTGATGAAATGAAAAGCCGGGAGACGAGCATGTCGGAAAGGAGGTGGGCTTATTTCGGAAAGCCAGTGGGTTCCTGGTCAACTGGCAGCTTGAATGGATGACCGTAAGGATTTTTATACAGTTTTTACAGCGTTTTGTAATTCAGAGGCTCGGTTTTTGTGCTTTGGTTGTTGGAATATTTTAGTCTGTTTCACAAAGGCAAGCAATGAGTCCAAAGCGTTGCC